ACCTACCCTTTGCCAACTTAATGCTAAACCCAGAGTTGGAATTTCCTTCCTTAGCTCAAGAAAAGTAAATAAAGAATAATAATAATGATTTGCTATAATAATAGAATTACAGTGTTTATAATGATACACAAATGAAGAACTAAACTAGGTGGAAGTACTGGCCTAACTGAATATTTATTATATCTCATTTGCAACTGCATTCTTTTCTTTTAGAGCTTCCTGGGATCGTCGCCTCACTCAGATGGCTTAGAGGCCACGAAAATCTCAAAGAACCAGCTGGACCCTCACAAACTCAGTGTGCTCATATGTCTGGCTCCTGCACACCATCACTGTTCTTGCTCTCACTACATGTCAATGGGGTCAGACTAAATAAACAATATTCTTGTGAAAAAATTATTTATTTAAAATATTGTTATACATTAAGTAATTGGCTACTTTGTACTTCACAAATTGACTGCTGTGTTAATGTGAAATGACATGTAGACAGAACAGTTGTGAAGCAAGTTTGTATGTTTGTGTTATTTGTTGTACCTGTTTAACAACATTTTATCATATACAGTTCCTTGGCTGAATGCATAGTAGTGTTTATGTAATGTTTTTGATCATGTTGTAATGGAAGAATTGAGTATTTACTGGGACGGGTCCCTTGTGGAAAACCATTTCACCTCAGTGTTTCCCACACATTGGCTTTACTCAGGTAGATTAACAGCCGCCCAAGCAAATTTGGCTACCCATTTTAATTGCAGCGCTGCACAGCACATATTCGCTCCCTTCAATCGGTCGCTCCCTCTCTCTCTCCTGCATGCAAACAACCCAAGTCAATAGGTGCGTTCGAGATGACTGCGGCTGACATATTTATTGCTAAATCTCAAGGAATGCTGCTTCTACTAACTGTAGCTAATAAAATATCAACAGCTCTAAACTACTCTAAACGCACATGAAATATTTCGAATCATTTACCCAAAAAGAAAATTATAGCGTTTAAAAGCAGTATTTGGAAGTGCATGCAATTCTCGGCAGGCAAGCGAAATTCAGCTTATCACCTGCTAAAGTCGCCCCCCCCCGCCACATTTACGCTGTCATTCTGTGGGAAACACTGCACCTGAACCTAAACAGTTAGCATCAGAACAGTTAGACATGATGTCATATAACTCAGACAAAACAGAAATCCTGGTCATCGGGTCTCAGCAGATGGCAAATCAAATACTGCCATCTGCTGGTTCCCTAGTAAATCACATAAAGCCTGTGGCAAAGAACCTTGGTGTTTGGTTGATAGTAATTTAAATTTCGAGCAGCACATCACAAAGCTTGTTCAATCATGTTTTATCAACTTAGAAATATAGCTAAAATTCGATCTATGTTAACTTTTAAGGACACCGAGACCATTTAAACGCCTTCATCTCATCACGCCTGGATTATTGCAACAGCCTTTTCACCTGTTTAACCCAAAAATCTATTGATCGACTCCAGACTGTCCAGAACTCAGCTGCCAGGCTTTTAACCAGAACAAAGAAATATGACCACATTACTCCTATTTTAGCTTCATTACACTGGCTCCCAGTATGTCTTAGAATTGACTTTAAAATTCTATTGATCACTTTTAAAGCTCTTCATGGCCTCTCGCCTTGTTATATTTCTGACCTTTTAGTCCCATACGCACCAGCACGTACCTTGAGATCCTCGGGCAGAGGTCTGTTGTCTGTTCCAGAGTCTCGACTGAAAACTAAAGGGGACAGAGCGTTTGCTGTCAGGGCCCCGAGGCTCTGGAACAGCCTGCCCGAGGAAATCAGGTCGGCTGAGTCAGTGAACTCTTTTAAGTCCCTTCTTAAAACATACTTTTATAGGAGAGCTTTCCCGATCTTATTTGACTCTATTTTATCCCTTTTATTTTATTGTATTTTACTAATTTTATATTCTTTTTTTTGTATTATTCTTTACACTTGTTAAAGCACTTTGTAACTTGTTTTTGAAAAGTGCTCTACAAATAAGGATTATTATTATTATTATTATTATTATATTGTGTTTCAGCAACTTTAAACAAAATTAAAAATCTGACAATGGTTGTTAATTAATTAGAGGTAATATTGCTTTGATATAGACAAAATATTTCCTTTTCCCTTCCACAGATGCTGTGTGATAAAGCAGTTTCCAAATCCCATAGTGTCTGCAGTCACAGAAAATGCACCAAGTCATACTCAAAGATACCGACCAAGGAAAAGGATTGGTTCTACCATTCGTACTGTATACTTGTGACGGAGTAATACCTTCACTACAGTTGACTAAGTGCTTGGACTGCCATACCAACGAGCCTGGCTCTTTGGCAATCTGGGCAGGGTGACTGCTCTCGCCTTTGTCCACATATGGTGTCAGAATGGGATGGCTTGCCGTGAAGTCATCTGAGCTGTGCCCAGAGTCCAAACCGTACGAAGGACCCCCATGGGTAACGATGGGATGTGTATAGTGTACTTTTCAGTAATACTGATCATATGTCATTTTACTGATTTTATTTTTAATTGAAGGTATTTTGGTCAAGATGTGATGTTGTCTGTTCCAGAGTCTCGACCGAAAACTAAAGGGGACAGAGCGTTTGCTGTCAGGGCCCGAGGCTCTGGAACAGCCTGCCCAAGGAAATCAGGTCGGCTGAGTCAGTGAACTCTTTTAAGTCCCTTCTTAAAACATACTTTTATAGGAGAGCCTTTCCCGATCTTATTTGACTTTATTTTATCCCTTTTATTTTATTGTATTTTACTAATTTTATATTTATCTTAAATGTGTATTTTAGTCTTTTCAATGTTTTCATGCTTTTATCTTGTATTGTTTTTGTATTATTGTCTCTTAGGTATTATTGTCTTTACACTTGTTAAAGCACTTTGTAACTTGTTTTTGAAAAGTGCTCTACAAATAAGAGTATTATTATTATTATTATTATTATTATTATTTTTATTGTGAGAGACCTGAGTTCAAATCCACTGTGAGACACCAATGTGTCCCTGAGCAAGACACTTAAACCTTTGTTGCTCCAGAGGTGTGTGACCTCTGACATATATAGCAATTGTAAGTAGCTTTGGATATGAGCCTCATCTAAATTAATAATATGTGTATATGTTGTTTACTTTGCAAGCAGCAGTAGCCAATGTAAGGATACTCAATGAGGAAATCCTAGCTAAATTTAACAGTCTTATTGGGGTATTTATTCTTTAACAACACATTTTATAGCTAAACATATTGTTAATAAAATGTTAATACACAAAGTAACTTTTACTTACTGTCTTTAGGTATATACGTATATTGTTATTGAAGTTAGGTATGAAGTAGTATGAAACAGAAGTAATAAGGCAATAAACAAAAGCACTGTGTAGCTAATTTCACACCAAGCCCCTACCAGATGTCATTTTTTATTTCCCTATATCTCCTTTGGGTTAACACCTGTGACACTCGCTGCAAACGTGAGAACACGGAGCTCGTTGACACCGCTGCATACCGTTTCGAGGAAACATGTTGTTCAACCGGGTATCACCTGAAACCCCATCAAACCGGTCCAAACGTTTTGAGATTGAATGGGCCCTTGAACTCCTGTGTCAGTGTCAGTTTTTCACCAACATTACCTGGATTAACAATTAACAGTCGAAGTCGGTGAACCCACAAAAGGTAGGTCGAATTATAAATTTAAGTTTGCCTGTTCACAGTGTTTAGTCTAACGTCTTAGACATTATAACAGACCATTAAGTAGGCTTTAAAGCCTTGTGTCATGTTAAATAATTATTATCTAACCATTTCAAAATGGATCAGCATTAGACCTTTTAGTCATTTGAACAGAACGCCAGCTTGTTTGATAGCAACCTGTCTGAGAGTCTTTATTATCTTATGTGATTTATTACTGACACTTTGTACAGTGGAAAGGTTTTTATGAAACGATTCTGTCAGATTCGTTTTTAAAGAAAGAAGCATTTTCCACAACAAAAGGGAAACTATTTCAAATGTGCACAATTTTCCAATGGTCCTCTGTGTTGACAAAAGTGAAAGTAAAAATCTTGACATGTTTGATTATTTGTGTAACAATACTGTCAGATCTCAGAGCTGTAGGGCGTTGTTTAAATTCAGAAAATAATATGAGTTAATATATAACATATTATATAAATGAAAACAATGAGGCCCTGCATAAGTAACAATCAGTATCGGCACTGTGTTCCTGTGCAGGTGTTGTTATATTTGTCTGCCATCTCACAGTACAGACATGCGTCATCGGCAGTTCTAATGCCTCCTTGCACCATGCCTGTATTCTTTAGGGTCTTAACGACAATTCCACAGGTGCATATTCATTGATTGTTTATGGTTCATGAACTATGAAAAACATTGTTTAAACACATTGTTTACAATGAGAGAATTTTTATAGAATTATCTTTCTTTTTTTGCTGAATATGTGTTTTGTGTGTATGTAAATACTACTTTTTAGCAATTTAAGTTTTTAGTTTGAACTAGGGTTTGGACAACATAAGCAGTAGGCTACATTTTCAAATATAAAAACTCAATCCTGAGCAGACATAAAAAATAAAAAAATTTGTTAAATTGATTTAATTTGGGGATTTTTTCAAGTCTGCTCAGGATTTAAATTATATTTCCCCTGAACACAAGTTAAAAAGAGTATTTTCTATACAATAATGTTTTAATGGTGTCTGTCCTGCAGGATGTTTCACCAGATGGCTGGACTGTCCCTTCAATATCTGCTCAGAACCATCAGTTTTTTCATTGTCCACCTTCTATCACACTTTTGTACAGGTAAACTCACACACAAATATAACTGTATAAGAGGATTACATTGGTTCACGACTCGTTACTGCTGCCCTCTCAAGTGCCCTCCACTGTTTTTGACTGTTTTGAGGAAATGGCATTTTACTTCTTATATATATATAATATGTTTGTTTTGTAAATGGTCCAGCTATACAGCTGAACTAATTTAACTTGTTTTTACTGCAATAACTTAATATTTTGTTTCCTTCCAGGTCACTCTCAGTTAATTGGTTCTCCTCAGCCAATAGTGGCAAAAGTTGGTGATGACGTCATCTTGACATGTCATCTGCAGCCTGCAGTGGATGTTGCTGCCAAGACTATTGAGTGGGCAAGACCAGACCTGGACCCCAGATTTGTGTATGTGTGGCGTGCTGGTCAGGAACTCCATCCTCCAAAAAATCCATCCTACAAAGAAAGAACAACTCTGTTCACTGAAGAACTGAAGCACGGAAACATTTCACTGAAACTCTCCAAAGTGAAACCTTCTGATGAGGGGAGATACAAATGTTACATTCCAGATATGAACACAGACGCCTCCGTTGAGCTTGTTGTTGGTGAGTAGATACATGATGTATGTGTAGTGCAGTTTGGTGTGTAGTCTGTGCAGCGTATCCAGTGAATAACTGAGGGATCAAAACAGCTTTCAGCCATTCATGTTGGGACATGAAGAGTTCAACTACAGCCATCAAACCAGTGTAACTGTTACTTAAGCAATAGCTCACGATAGGCCGTGGTAGAGCCTATGCTTATTATATCCGTGATATATGCTAGGCTATATCACAGTTAAGGGGGTTGCCAAACAATGCCCCTTAACTGTGATATAGCCTAGCATATATTGTTGGGCTTCTGTAAATAACATCATAGAGTATGGTCTAGACCTGCTCTTTTATGAAAAGCGCTGTGAGATAACTGTTGTGTTGTGATTTGGCGCTATATGAATAAAATTGAATTGAATTGAATTGAATATATCACGGCCTGAAGGGAGCTATTGCTTTTATTAAACGGTTACCAAGTATGGCATAAAGAAGGTAGGTTAACAGACGCACTTCAATTTGACTTTGTTTTAATTCATTAGGCTAACAGACATTTCTTTATGAATACAAAAAGTAGTCCCACCAGGATGCCGGTAGGCTACATAGTGCATTATCGTTGCTAAGCAACATACATCAAAGGCTAAAATTATTAGAACTATTTATTTTTATCTATTTGCATGTTGCTGTTTGTTGTGCAGCCACTAAAAACTGTCCAGCATCAGGAGATTTGACTTTGGTAACCTGAACTTATATGATAATATGCTTGCTACTGTGTGCCAGCAGCCACCAGTGCTTAAAATAATAACACTTTAATATTATAGGCTACTTAAAGGGCGGAATTGCGTCTCTCCTTGAGCAATAGTCTTTTGAACAGGCTATTGAAACTTAAACTTTGTTGCATATCGCAGACATCTGGATCAAGTAGTGGACTGCTGTGTGTATTTGTGTGTATTTTCGTTCTGATCGATCGATCTGTATCAGATAGCATTTTAATACCAGGTGTAAATGTGGCGTGACACCCTCACGAAACTCAGATTAGGCTATAACTCAAACCCTGTTTGTCGTGGAGTGATATGGATCTGTCCAAAGGAATTCGATGTCATACCCGTTGTATAGCCTATGCTCATTATAACACTACTATGAACCAATCAGATTGCTTGATTTGAGCTACCCATTTTATAAATGTTTTTAGAACAGCTAAATTAAGTATAACATCCAATCATTTAAAATAAACACAATGTGATGTGACTTACTTTATGACAGACTTTCAAATAGATGTCAACTGACCCTGCAGCCCAAGTCCCACTGTTACTGTTGCTACACCTCACAGGCTTTAGATCTAGCACACCATATGTACAGTTTACAAGAATGATGGCAGCAGATTTACCACTGAAAATTATTAGTAATGTGTGAAACAACGGGTCCTTAATTTTTTTCTTTAATTTACTTAAAGCTGAAAAAAACACAGCTAACATTAAAGCAGACAAATACACTGTGTAATCAATTTATTTATTAATGAATTGGTTTATTTAATAGGGATATTTTAAACGTGTAGTTCCTGGCCAGATCTCACAGTTCTTCTCTTGTGTTTTTAGTGTTTGGAAAGACGATAAAAAGAAATGACCCTCTAACATATTAATAACTAGTGACTTTCACTACAACCCCATTCACAGCGGTGCATTAAGCTAAATGCAAACATCAGAATGTAACAAGAGGAATGAGGTTCATCTTCACAATGTCAATACTAACGTGCTGAAGTTTAGCAGGTTTACATTTTACCTTGTTGAAGTTTATTGTGTTAACATTTGCTAATTTGGTCCAAACACAAAGTACAGCTGAGGCTGGGATGTCATTAGTTTTGCAAATATTTACCAAAGTATGTGACACAATAAAATGTTGTAGATTTACATTTATAGTATCATCTTTTTAATTATTAATGCCGTCTTTTTAAAACTGACCTGTATTTTAATTGTTCCTCTTGCTCAACATCAGGGGCCGTCTCCTCACCTGTCATCAGTTTAGCAGGTATTGACAGAGACAAAGGGGGAGTGGTGTTACAGTGTGAGTCTGCAGGCTGGTTTCCAGAGCCTGAGGTGTTCTGGCTGGACGGTGAGGGAAACCTCCTCTCTGCTGGACCTACAGAGACAGTCAGAGGTCCTGATGACCTCTATACTGTCAGCAGCAGAGTGACTGTGGAGAAGAGACACAGCAACAGCTTCACCTGTAGAGTCCAACAGAAGGACATCAACCAGACCAGAGAGACTCACATCCAGGTTCCAGGTAGATTAATGTGATCCATGTTTTAGTTTCAAATAGCTGAGGTCTAGTGTTCTATAAACGCTATTTACATATAAACGTTACTTTGTGTTTTATCGTTTCAGATGATTTCTTTGAGGTCCAGTCCAGTTTGTCCCCCGTCACAATTGGATTGGCTGTTTGTTTGGCTGCTTGCATCATGATTATTTTGTTACTTATCTTTTCTTTGTGGAAATGCAGACATAACAGAATCAGTGAGTTGCAACTTAATTACAGATTAATGGGACATTGTGTATTCAATTTGATCGAAATATCAGTATTTTTAAAATATGTGGTGTTTTTACTACTTTTTGCAATAAGTCAAATTGTCAGGTGTCTTATTTATGTAGCCCATTAACATAAAATCTTTGACTCAAATGTCTCATATGCTGTGATGCAAGGGCACGACTTTAATACTTTAATTCTACTGCCTGTTTTTCACACAGAGAGCAAGAGAAGCCACAGGGATGAAACTGATGAAGGAGAACAGAAGGTCCACTTTATAAGTAACAAAACTAAAGTTCAGCTTCACCTTGAAGCAGAAATAGTGCAGCTCCATCACTCCATCACCTGTATCCTGTTAACATGCAAAAAGGCCTCACCATAATCGCCTTGTTGAACAGTGACAGGTCCAGGATGGGCCTCGCGCCGCCCGTCTTCTTCCTGCCCGGGAGAAACCCTGGAGATGGACTGTTTCTCCAGGAGCTCCTGAAGCTCCGCCTGGAGGCAGGAAGTGAGCCACTCTGAGTAGCGCTCTGAAAGTGGTTGGAACCGATGGAGAGGCCAGCCGCAGTCGGTCCGTGTAGTGTGGAGGAAATGTGTGAGAGGGGCGACCACTGACTCAGCAGAGACAGCGGCGGGCCCAAGAAAAAGCTCTTTAGGGCTCTGTTTGTGTTTTATTTCAAAACAGCTGGGGTTTCGAACAACAGTACAAACAGAACAGGCACAGGAAACGCACATTTCCCCCCCAAAATGTCATTGGCGCTTCCCAGGGCGGCGAGGTTGCGCGATGGAGGTGGACCATGAGCAGGCATTTCTTTGGGGGGCCGCACAGCCCTCCATGTGCTCGCCAGAGGTAGCCTGACTGCCATTAGGTACCGAAATGAGATCCTCAGACCCCTTGTGAGACCATATGCTGGTGCGGTTGGCCCTGGGTTCCTCCTATTGCAAGACAATGCTAGACCTCATGTGGCTGGAGTGTGTCAGCAGTTCCTGCAAGAGGAAGGCATTCTCTTCGTTCCCCAGACCTGAATCCAACTGAGCACATCTGGGACATCATGTCTCGCTCCATCCACCAACGCCACGTTGCACCACAGACTGTCCAGGAGTTGGCGGATGCTTTAGTCCAGGTCTGGGAGGAGATCCCTCAGGAGACCATCTGCCACCTCATCAGGAGCACGCCCAGGCGTTGTAGGGAGGTCATACGTGGAGGCCACACACACTACTCAGCCTCATTTTGACTTGTTTTAAGGACATTACATCAAAGCTGGATCGGCCTGTAGTGTGGTTTTCCACTTTGATTTTGAGTGCGACTCCAAATCCAGACCTCCATGGGTTGATAAATTTGATTTCCACTGAAAATTTTTGTGTGATTTTGTATTTAATGAGATTATTTCATTCATTCTGATCTAGGATGTGTTATTTTAGTGTTCCCTTTTTTTGAACAGTGTATTTTACATTAATAGCTGTTATTTCTTAAATGCAGTGAAATTCTGTAAAAAAAACAACAACATATGCCTAAAATCATGTCTGGATTCTTGTCCCTGTTTATGTCTCTCCTCTTTCTCAGTTTAAGGAGCAGCAGCTGCAGGAGGAGCAGCAGAGGAGGGATGAAGCTGAGAAAAAGTTCAGATACTGAAAGATGAGCTGGAGACCAAGAGGAATGAGGTTCAGCTTTAGTTATTTAATATAATACATTGATTTTAGTATGAAATCACATTCTTTATGTCATCTAATGTAGAAAAAGTCAAACTCACTGTAGTTTATGTAGGTCAAGCACAAAATAAAGTCTTATTTGTTTGTTTTTTTTCACAGATATTAATTTATAGTGTAAAGTATTAAATGTTAGTAAAAGAACATTTGTCTCTTCTCCTCTCTTTAAAACTTCTCGCTGTCCTTCCAGGTTGAAACCAAACAAGCTGAGCTGCAGCAGCTCCAAGAAGAGAAGCAGAGGAAGGAGAACGACCTGCAGACTGTGAAGGAAGAGCTGGAGAACAAGAACAAAGAGGTTCATGTCTTTATCTTAATCTTAATCTTTCTGTATTTACTGTGTCACAGCCCAGACTCAGTGAGACACACAAAGAGGGAGAATACACACACAATTTGAAACTAACTTAAGATGTATGTAAGTCATTGGTGGTTGTTGTGTTGAGTGGATGTGCGGTGTTGTGAAGGCAACAAATAAGAAGAAAGAAAGATGATGAGAGAGAGAATGAGGAGCAAAATATCAGGTTAAAGGTTCAGTTTGTAAGTTTTAGTGACATCTAGTGGTGAGGGTTGCAAATTGTACCCCCCGCCTCCCCTGTCTAAGCGAGTTGTTTAGCTACGGTGCCTGAGACAGGACAAAAGAGTCATCTATGTGATAGCAGAGAGTTGCCAGTCAAGAAATCAGGTTTCTTTAGATAGATATATTAAGAAATTATATTTACTTAATTATTCAGGAAAAACATGTTTTTTTGAATATTATTGTTGCTTGTTCATTAACAAACAACAGCCAACAGCCACATCGAAAAATGAAGTGCTACATGATGTCTCATACTCCTGTAATACAGTATTTTTACTTCAATTAAGCAGTAACAACAAACACCCACTCGGGTTCAGATCAGGGGGGCCGTTCCTCCCGATAACGCCTTTCCAGGTATCTCCATCATTGCCCACATGCGCGTTCAAGTCTCCCAGCAGAACTATGGAGTCCCCTACTGGAGCCCCATACAGAACTCCATTCAGGGTCTCCAAGAAGGCCGAGTACTCTATACTGCTGTTTGGTGCATATGCACAAACAACAGTCAGAGTTTTCCCCCGCCACTACCCGAAGGCGTAGGGAGGCAACCCTCTCGTTCACCGGAGTGAACTCCAGCATAGCGGCGCTCAGCTGGGGACTTGTGAGTATCCCCACACCCGCCTGGTGAGTCACACCTTGAGCAACTCCAGAGAAGAATAGGATTCATCCCCTATCAAGGAGTACGGTTTCAGAACCAAGACTGTGCGCGGAGGTCAGCCCCACCAGATCTATGTGGTAGCGCTCCATCTCCTGCACAAGTTCCGGCTCCTTCCCCCACAGAGAGGTGACGTTCCATGTCCCCAGAGCCAGCCTCTGCTGCCCGGGTCTGGTCCGTCGAGGCCCCTGACCTTCACTGCCACCCATGTGGCAGCGCACCTGACCCCTGCAGATCTTCAGATGGATGGTGGGTCCAAAGGATGGAGAGGGGGGTGATCGAGAGCTTTGCCTCACGGATCATTAGCAGTGAAAAGAAATATATATTTTCTACCAGGGCAGTAAAATGTGAAGCTTAGCTGCTCATCTGAACTTCCCTGCTGGTACCGTTTCATTAATAATTTTCATCATCTGTCTCAGGAAGGTAACGGCACATTTCTGTCCAAGTAACAAAGCCTGGAGAAGAACTACATGAAATTAAAGCTGCAAGCAGCGTTGGGCAGGCCCTCGCACGTGTAGCGTGTCGGGGCATTAAGCGGCTGTGTTGCATATTATGGTGCTCTGTCTGTGCGGCTGTTAATTTGCTATGCAATTCGGACACCTCACTTCCTGTGTCCCCTTTGTGGCGCTACATAGCACTTGGCGCTATGAATATAAATTAATATTGATGTACAGCTGTGTTCAGAGTTGATCTTTGACGCCATGCCACGGACACGCCCATTGACGAAAACTCACAGATCACAACTTTTCATTGTCAATACCTTTAGAAGGCACAGCAGAAATTTGAAGTCGATTCGACTAAATCCCTAGGAGGAGTTCATTAAAGTGTAAATCATCCAAAAATGACCATACAGTTCAAAATGGCTTTACAGCTTGAGAAATGTAAGTTATTTTCCTCTCCAGTCTGCCTAAAAGAAAAGCATTTTTGGGATTAAATGGGCTTTATTAGCTGCTGCAGTGCAGGATGAACTTAGAACAGATTCATTTCTCAACTTATTATTCTAAATTATGCAAGGAAGAAGAAGAAATACATAATAAATCCTGCGACAAAATCTGTCCACAAATACTGTGCAACATGTAGTCTAATGCCTTGTGTTATAGCTGACTTGGGCAGTGAAATGATTCATGTTTTAATTCATGGGGTCATAGTTGTCCACAACTCAAACACAAGGAGGAATGTTTTATACCACCTCAAGAAGACTTCCTATCAGAAAGTTAGAATGGTACTTCAATGTACAACTGCAGCACTTAAATTAAGTAAAGTAATTCTCCTGAAATGTTTGTGTTATTTTATTACTAGAGACATGTAACAGGTTTTATACTTCCTGTGAATATAATCCAATTAATCTTATTTTTATGCTGTATATGCATTGTGTAATTTGATAAATTATGTTGTATAGTGGTGCTTGCATTGCATACTATTAACACTTCATTGCCCTCCTCAGATAAGACTCTCAGACTGCAACATGTGTCTTTGTGAAGAGAGAAACAGAAACAGAAACTCTACCTGTCAGCTCGCTCTGCTCCTTAAAACTGAATTTAGCACACAGAATTGAATATGAGTGCACTCGAGATGTAGCTGCAGCTATCAGACCATGATTCTCCCTATACTGCAGTTCTTTGTCCATGCATGCAGCAAACTGAAAGCACTGTCTGTCAGTGTGTCGAGTGTCCACTCGAAAAGGGAAAGAATACATGGCTGGTAGTATTGTCTTCAAATAGAGTTGCTAAACACCTCAGCGCACTGAAGGAAGCCATCTGACTGTTTAAGGAGCAAGGTCGTTGATGTGTGCAGGTAGAGTAGGCCTAGAGCTCTCCCGTCTGACTGGTCCGCCAATAGGAGAGAAGTTCACCCCTTGAGACACAGCCCCTCATCATTTGCATAATGAGGAGGTGAATACCATTGGGGAAATAAATAGGGTAGAAAATGCAACGGAACAATAAAACAGACAAAAATATTAAAACACACACAATAAATTTGAAGATTATAACGGACAATAAATAAATATGGTAATTATTACAAAGGCGAATAAATAAAGAAGCTAATTAAAATAGATATATACATTTATGTCTCCTTGTATAATTTAATTATTGCCTACATTTATTCATTTACTTTTTGTGCATTTAATCGGAGGCTTATTTATTTATCAAGCATTTATTTATTTCTGTATTTATTTCTGAATTTGTCAGAATCAGTCCCCATATGAGTAATGCAACTGTCCTATTATTTTGTAAAACTACTCACATGATTTAATGTGGAACTCGTGTCTCTTTGTGTCCTTCACCTCCATACCAGCTGGAGAGAATTCAAACCAAACGACACAGCTTTCACTTTTTTTTGGTAAGTGGTCCTAATATAAGAAATATAATATGTGGTTTCTTCTCATCCGAGAAAACACCATAACACAAAGTCCATTATTGTAATATCTCCATATATATTATTTGTAGATTGTGAATGACACCAAATGCAGAAATACAGACTGGCTTCATTTACAGACAAATTTTGCAGCCTGATCAACTTTAACAAAGCAGAGATAATCTGAATATATAATGAGGGAAAACCACAGTACTACCGATAGGCTTGAAATAAAACTATATAGTAAACTTTGCCATTGTAGTGCAGAATTTCTTCTACATGAGCTGAGCTTTTTCACTTGTTATTCAGCAAAAGTCATGATGCTCCATTTTTGCAAGATGGATGATTGTATATATCATATGTCTTAATGTAATCCAGAATCGACACTTTAGAGGACAGGAGATCAAAGCTGGGGAGACACTGAAGACAAAGCTGGAGATCCATGAAATTGAATTAGACACCCAAATCATGGAGGTTTGTATTTGTATCTTTTCTTCAAAAGATTTGGTTTCAGCCACCTACTTGTTTGTTTTCAGTTTAGCTTCTCTGTCAGAATCAGAATCAGCTTTATTGCCAGGTATGTGTACACATGCGAGGAATTTGACCCTGGACAATGCTCACGATGTGCTTACTTATACAATTACACAATAAGGTAATAATCAAACACAGGCTACAGTATAGAGTACACATGTATACACACTATTGTTGGGACCAGGACAGTCTGGTAAGAACAAAGACTGGGCTTCCTGCCTGACTCCGGCCCACCGAGCGGTAACCCGACTTCGCCAGGATCCGATCCGTGAAATAAATTACCTCCGACGGACACATCCCCATTGAGAACTGGCGTTATCATCGTCACTACCAAGAGCGACCTGAGTAAAAGGCTTAACTAAAGTGTTTGGGCAGAGATATATACATAATTGTATTGTTTATGTGCTGAGCTTCATGTTCATTGTGGATTCACGGACCGCCGTGTCTGCTTCTAGATATTGCTGTGTTTACGTGCTCAAGCACGCTGTATTAACATCATCCCAGCCACTAGCTGACCGGGGTTTTACAGATTTCAGCTGTCTGTGAAAGTGATCGCTAAATATCCTTTATCAGAGTTAAAGGCCGAGCATACGCCTAGCGGGTCTCGTTGCTATTCGGTAGTTATGACACTATTACACAGCCTGAATTTCTGCTTGTGCTACAGCTGTACTTTATTTTCCACATGTGTGCACCATCGCTAGACTCTGGCTAAAGCAAAGTCAGCATCCGCCCATTAAGGAAAACTAACTGTGCATGCTGAGTGACAGGGTGTAGCTACGTTGTAATTCACCATGATAAGTAAACCCACAGACATTATCTTGTGTGATCTCACTGTTTTCCCTGCTTTCCATGAACTAATCACTGTATACACTCATTTGCCACCGGTACAACAGGTAGTGTGCCGAGTTTGTTGTCCGCATAGCCTACAGAGAGAATAGCCGCCATTTTGGGTCATAGTGTTACATCTGTTGGTTGTGACGGCCAGTGTACGGACTCACTCTTCAAACTCACCTATCTTTGAATGAAAATTTTTGATTATTGACAATTTAAAGGTGAATATATCCTTTTAGACTGATTTCATATTCGGTTATTGGTCCCTGATTCCAGGGTGTATTTATTAATGACAATTAATAATTTTATTAATATTTCTAGAATATCTCTGATATTCAGCCAAAAACTAAACCTGATCCTACGTGACCCCAACACTATGAACAAAAACAGACAGATTGAGACAATAGTGCAATTAACAGAGTGCAAAGGATGCAGGAGAAAAAAAATTATTACCATTATTGTTATTATTATGTACATGTTGGAGGTGGATGTGCACAGACACACACAAGCTTACATGTACACAGTGTGATGAGTGCAAAGAACGCTGGAATAAATAAGTATTATGTGCAGGTCTTATGTACATGAGGTAAGTGGACTTGGTATACAGTATATACAGTACATTATGACTAAATAAATAAATGGTAAGTGGTTGCCAGTAAGCAGGAATTATTGCACAGGAATGGTTCCTGACACTGTGAGTCAGAGTCAGCTTTTCATCAGAGTGATGGCTTGTGGGAAGAAACTGTTCCCGAGTCTGTTGGTTTTGGCGTGCAGTGTTTTGCACTTACCAGAGGGGAGAAGCTGGAACAGGTTGTGTCCGGTGTTAGATCTGCAGTGATGTTTCCTGCCCGTTTCCTGACTCTGGAAAGTCTTGAATGGAGGGCAGGTTGGCACCAATGATCTTTTCTGCAGTCCTGACTGTCCGTTGTAGTCTGTCCCTGTCCTTTTTGGTGGCAGATCCAAACCAGACAGTGATGGACGTGCAGAGGACAGACTGGATGATGGCTGTGTAAAAGTGGAGCAGCAGCTTCTTAGGCAGGTTGATCTTCCTGAGCTGACACAGGAAGTATATCCTCTGCTGGCGTTCTTGATGATAGTGTCAGTGTTGGGCTCCCACTTCAAGTCCTGGGATATCGTGGAACCCAGAAACCTGAAGAATTCCACAGCAGACACAGGACTGTTGAGTGTGGTGATGGGGGCAGAGTGGGGGGGTTCCTCCTGAAGTCCACGGTCATCTCCACAGTTTTTAGCATGTTAAGCACCAGGTTGTTCTGACCGCACCAGAGAGCCAGCTGATCAACCTCCCATCTGTAGGCACATCCCCAGTCCCGGATGAGGCCGATGACCGTTGTGTCGTTAGCGAACTTCAGGAGTTTGACAGATGGTCCCCTGAGGTGCAGTCGTTGGTGTAGAGGGAGAAGAGCAGTGGGGAGAGCACACACCCCTGGGGGGTGCCAGTGCTGATAGTCCGGGTGCTGGATGTGATGTTTCCCAGCCTCACCTGCTGACTCCTGTCAGTCAGGAAGTCTGTGATCCACTGACCGGACGGAGACTGGCACCGTGAGCTGGGTGAGTTTGGTGCTGAGGATGTCCGGGATGATGGTGTTGAACGCCGAGCTGAAGTCCACGAACAGGATCCTTGCATATTTCCCCGGAGAGTCGAGCTGTTGCAGGATGTAATGCAGTCCCAAGTTGACAGCATCATCCACAGATCTGTTAGCCCTGTAGGCAAACTGCAGGGGGTCCAACAAGGGGCCAACACCAGTCTTTCAAAAGGAAGACTTCTGAAGACTTCCTCCTTTGTCTGATGAAGCTGCCTGAGTTTCACTATGAACAAGGGTTTTTAGTTGTATGTGCGGAAGGTTTTAGTCTGCACATACATTTCCTCACAAAAGCTGACATAAGATGTCACAGTGTCAGTTAGTTTGTCCAATGCAGTGGCTGCAGCCACCGTGAGCTCCGTTATGTGGTCCGCCTGGAAATGATTAAATCCTGGCTAGAAAAGTGTGCTTTCCGGGATGTGCTCGGTGAGCCAGGGTTCGGTAAAACACAGGGCGACAGATCTGCAGAAGTCAGTTAGTACTGTTGAGGAGAAGCAGTTCATCCATTTTGTTGGCCAGAGAGCGGACATTAGCCAGCTGGATCGAAGGGAGCACAGTGCGAAAACCCAGCTGTCTCAGTTTAACCTGTGCGCCAGCTCGCCTTCCCCTTTGGCGTCTCCGAAGGATCTGATGTTTAAGAGCTCTTCTCTGGTAAAAGTTACCAGAGAGGGACGGCAGAAAACAGAGTTAACAAACAAAAAGCACTGTGGAGTGTAATCCAGAGGCTGCCATCTTCCACTGCGCCATCTTGTTAATAACAGGTCTAAAGGCTTGTGCGGTCTACACGACTTTCAGTGTCAGCCGAGGGCTGTGCCGTTCACACTTTACAACTTGCCGTCTTGTGACGGGAGTGGCGTTCACACTACATGACAGGGGGGTGACACACTACGAGAGCTGACATCATCTGAGTCACCTGACGCTGGTCTCCAAACCACGTTTGGTCAAGAAAACACACGTGAAATGTGAAATGGAAAATGATGCAAACCTACAGACAAAACAGCTGTTGTTTGTTATTATAAAGATAGCAGTTCTAAAGACAAAGAATACGGCTGAAAGAATGGATTCATCACTGGTTTACCAGAGGCACACAGAGGCATACAAATCCTCCACTCTTCCTGGTTAAGGTACCAGAGGAAATTCGCTGACAGGAGTCAACTTTCCTGCCCCAGGTAAGATCTTGCAGGAGAAGTCGGCATGCTTGTGGTACAAGTTCTGACAAATGTGTAAAGTTAAATGCATTGCTGAGAAGGACTTACATGGCCCCGATTGTTGGTAGGCCTGAGTGGGCTCCGTCCAAGATAGAGGCTGATGCTTCTTGGCCAAGACCTCAAACTGTAACAGAGCTCAAATCGTCTTGGGGTTCTGTGGTTACTACCAGCTACCAGGGTGTCTTATACCAAGAGCATGATGATGGCCTGCGTCCAGTTGCATTCCTCAGCAGAATTCTTTCGCCATCTGAGAGAAACTATCCAGCGCACAAACTGGAGTTCCTGGCTCTTAAGTGGGCAATTGTGGATAAGCTCAAGTATGAACAGATAACAGTCCACTGACATACGTCCTGATATCAGCTAAACTGGATGCCACGGGTCATCGTAGGCTCTCAGCGCTGTCCACCTACAACTTCAGCCTGAAATATAGACCTGGTCGCCAGAACCTTGACACAGATGCACTGTCCCGGCATCCACATGATAGCACAACACCAGACGATGAATGGCAGGAAATTCCAGTTCGTGGAGTGCGAGCTCTCTGTCAGACTGTGTCAAGTAGCACACATGCCAGACACCTCCAATCATGTGTGATTACTCAAATTGGGGCTCATGTTTCTGCAGTTCCTAAAGCTTCCTGTCATGCTGCTACATTAGCCGCTGACCATCTGCCCACTTTCAGTTCAGCTGAGATTCAAGCCGCTCAGAAAAATGACCCATGCATAGGGGAGGCATGGTTAGCTGTCAGTCAGAATGCACCTGCTAGTCAAATACAGACGAATCATCCCGACCAAACACTGCTGAAAAGAGAGTGGGAGAAACTATCAGTTGAGCAGGGTCTGCTGTACAGAACAGTTAAGTAGACTGACAATCAAAACAAAAAGAACAAAAAGATGAAAAGATAGATTCAAGCAGCCTTTCAGTTGGCCCAAGCCACTTCTACTAAAATGAACCACAGTAATAAAGAGAGATACGACCAGAAGGGTGTTACCACTGTTTGGTTCCTGGGGATAGAGTCCTCATTCGAAACCTTGGCCTGAAAGGGAAGCAAAAGTTGGCTGATCGTTGGAGTGCAAACCCCTATGTGGTTGTGAGCCAAATGTCTGACCTTCCTGTTTACTGTCTAAAGCCTGTGGATGGTTCAGGACCTATTAAAGTCACGCACCGAAGTCACCTCCTGCCACTAGGACAAGAAGTTCCGCTAAACACTAATCTGGACACCAAACCTGCCCCAACTACAAGAGCACTCAGGCGCAGAAAAGCCAAGGAGAGAAATCAAATACTTGAGATTAACAAAAGTGACTCCACCGCTGATGTTCTCTTGGGAGATCAATATTCTTCAGATTCAGAGTCAAGAGTATGGGAACTACCCAGTAGACTGTACTGAGGAAAACTGTGAAAAATCACAGAAAGATGTACTACCCTCAATGTCCGCTACCAATACCCATGCTACAGCAGTGCCCAAAGTCACAGCAAGCTTAGAGTCTGCAGAGTATCTACCTGATATAGTAGAGGTAGCAGATGATAATCAGGGAATAGAACAGGAATGTTCTGTTGAGGACGCTTGCACCACCCACAACTCTGATGTAGTGAGAACTGACCCAGAAGTTAGAAGGTCAGAGAGGTCAAGAAGACAAGCAGAACGTTTGACTTATGAAAAACTAGGTGAGCCCTGTGCAAGACCTGTAGTAGTGAGGCAAACCAGTGTTCACTCAGTTACAGTAAGTCACCCACAGTAACATTTCCTAAGCAACTCAATAGTTGTCATGTGTGGTGGTGTAATTCTTTTGTTAAATGCATGTCATGTACAGATAAGGTTTCCGTCCTTTCACCATCTACTATACCAGTCATTACACTTTGAAGGCCTGTTCTTGTGTATATTGTATAGTTTTTTTGCCAAGTAGCTCCAGGCCCACTAAATGTGGTTAAATCAAAGGACTGTTTCTATACATGTGGAATTTTTAAACTTATTGACTGCTGCGTATGAGTCCTAAATGTTTGTTTATCTTTAATGTGTTTGTGTAGCACTATTTAATTTTCAGTGTTTCAATTTATACTTTATTGTACCGTTTGTAGTTTAATTGTATTGTTTTTGTAAAGCACTTTGATCGAAACCGCTCTATAAATAAATTTATTATAATTAAAATATTATTAGATATCGGGCAGACTTCGGCGATGTGTCAGAAATGTGTCGGAGAGCTGTTTTGATGCGTTGTTGAGTAGTTCACACATAACGACTAGCGAACGCTGATCAACCACTGAGTTACTCCCATCATAGCCCGACGGTCGCCGAGCTGCTGAGCGGCAAATCAGGCTAAAAATCGTGTAGTGTGAATTAGGCTTTAGAGGGTTTAAGACTGGAATGAGTTTTGTCCTTTTTTAGACAATTGCTGTGATTTCCAGTTAGAAAAAATTACTCTAGAGGCTGTTAAAAGAGTGCAGGACTCAAACAGGTGGTTTTGTTCAAATGAGTCTCTCTGCTGCCAGTTTGGCATTGCTGTTAAAACAGCAGCCATTATGAAGAAATGCTTTCATCCATTGAGATTACACCCTGTCCAACCAGTAGATGCTTTTTGTAACAATAGAGTCAGAACATCAGTAAATCAGTCTGTGCTAAAGATTATTAACAGTGACTCTCACAATGTGTCCACAGCTGCTACACAACACCAGGCTGCTACAAAGCAACTACAGCTGCATCTGCACAGGCTCTCAGGCTGGTCAGGTGTGATTCAGTATTCTGCATGTTTATGCAGGTGCTGGATTACTGGGGCTCATTATTCCTGTGCACCAGGGCCTCTTTCAACTTTTCAGGCCATGTTTTATTCTTGAGATGCATTTTAAATTCTTATTTGATGTGATAAAGAACTTAAACTGAAATGATTTGTGCAGTCATAAACACAATTTAAAGTATTATTGTCTGTTATTATTTTTATTGTAATAAAACCGAGGGAGTCACTTACTTCAGAAACGTTCCAATTAGACGCACAAAAGAAACCATGATATAGGCTTTATAGTTTTTCTGTTACTGTTGACATGTTGCAGTACATTAACTCAAATACACATTCATAGTTAAACATGTCTCTCATATTGTGTCCTCTTCTCGTTCCTCCCACATTGAAGACAAACAAGCTGAAGTCCAGCAGCTCCAGGATCAGATTCAGAGGACGGAGACCATCCTGCAGACGGAGAACAGAAAGGTTCATTATTCTACTGAACAAAAAGTATCAGAGTATTCAAATATTTTTAGAGATATTTGGTATCAGTGTCGATGCTCAGACATTCAGCAACACTCATCATCAATAACTTTTCATCATCATCATCATCATCATCATCATCATCATCTTGTGTTGAACATTCAGAAATAATGTAATGTTAAATGTAAAGGTGCTCTGTGAAATTTTCTGGTGATTAAACAGAAGTTATATTTACATTCAGTTTTACTCACCAAAACACATCGTGTGTATTTGAAGGCTAAATTAAATTTCAATCAAGTATTTAAAATCCAAAATTGTACAGCAGTCTTCTTCTTCACAGCCTTTACTGGTGTGTTGCTGCATATCTTGGCGTTTTACAGCCACCTGTAGATCAGTGAATAGTATGAAACCATTGTCAGGAACATGTATCGTGTTACCCACATGCATCCTCATGCACAAGATCTACAGAATTGAAACTCATTCATAGACAAACAGCTCCATAGCACTACTAGAAGTTTAAAACTCCAGGTAAGGTAAAATAATTAAAAGAGTTCAGATAATAAACCAATAAATGTGTTAATAAAAGAACATGGCTCCTTTAATTTCTTTTTCTTCCCAGTTGGAAAGAAGCAGAGTTGCTCCAGTTCAGCCTTCCTCCCCTCTGGTAAGTGGTCATGTAGAAATAAAATGAATACTCTCTAAGATTTCCTCTCCAGAAATAGGAGTTAACTCCACAAGACAAACTTACAATGGCAAAGGTGTGCAGCATTTAACAACACTGCATTTAGGTCACAAATCTTTATCCATAATCAGTTGAAGAGCTGCAGCGGGGCAGACTGAAAATGTCAAGTTTGACTTTATCGAGAGTAATTTGTTTTTTTATTTCATGCATTTTGTTGGTTAAACTGTGGAACTGCATAGTTTCTAAGAGGAAAATAACTGAGTATTCTCAGTTGTAATTAAATCCACAGAAATCAGACGAGTTTTGGTTGTTATGGCATGTTTAGTCACTTTACAAAGAAACATGTCTCTCATCTTGTATCCAAAAACATTTTTTTCCTCTCAGTTTAAGTGGCAGATAATTTCCAAGCAGAAGTTCCAAGATGAGCAGCAGAGGAGGGAGGAAGCAGAGAATAGAGTTCAGACCCTGGAGGAGGAGCTACAGATTAAGATCAGGAAGGTTTGTATTGTATTAGCCACAAAAGATTTATTTCAAGACAACTACTTGCTTGTTTTCAGTTCATCTTCAAATTTGTTTCTTCGAAAAATAGATGAACATGATGATCTTCAAATAAAAAAATATTTCTTAGTATTTTAATCTGCTGTTTATGATGTACACAAATGTGTAACTTTGTCTGTCACTGTTGTCATGTTCATGAAAGTCTTTATGAAAGAACATCTCAACTCAGCACCATGATGAAAAGCCCATGAGAGACAAAGCAGGTGAACACAGTGGAGCATTTAGCAGCTAAAGAGACAGATATTTCCCTCAAGAGCTGGAGACCAAAAACAGAGAAAAAAGAGAATTAATATTGGACTGAACATTCATCAGGTGACACAAACATGACATGTAACTGCTGGATAGGTAAAAAAGTAGCTTTTTAACAATTCAGTACATCACCCTAATAAGGTGACGACATTTCAATTTTGTGTTCACAACTTGTTTCTGCTGCCTCTCAGTGGCTAAAGGTGCAAAATAACTGTGACTTTGCTACATCTAAAAGGGTCAAACTAGAAATAGTAAAACATGCTGCACACGTCAGACCATGGAGTACCTTCCTGTCATGTCTTATTGTTTATCTTCTTACATATTTTAAGAAGAAAAATGTCTCTCATCTTCTGTCTTTATCTTCTCTTGCCTCATGTCGAGAAGCACAAAGAGGAGAAGCAGAGGAGGGAGAACAACAAGAAGCAGCTGCAAAAGGAGCTGGTGTACAAGACAAAACAGGTTCATCTTTCATTGATACTGACTTTTGTTTAAAAAATAAGAAACACTTTATTGATCCCCTAGTGGAAATTCACATGTCACAGTTGCGCATTTATCAAGGCATAAGGGATATAAATAATAATAAGATTAGGTGGATAAAAAATATAAGAGTATACATATAATATATAAAGAAATAAATATAAAGGAGCGTGGTTATGTACTTCACATTATTAAAGAATTATGATGAACATTTACATTATTAATGTTGATTAAATTAATGATAATTAACATTTTCATTATGGTGAACCAAAAAAGGACTAGTAGATATAAATAGCAGCAGAGAATATTGCACATTAACTATTAAAGAGATAATATTGCACAAAAACAGATAAGGTCCAATTTAATGACTAACTAAGTGTCCATGTGTCAGACATTTAGGGAACAAAGTTATGAAGTTTGATGGCCACAGGCAGGAATGACTTCCTGTGGCGCTCTGTGGTGCATTTTGGTGAACGAGTCTTGCACTGTGTTTGAGCAGCAAGTCATGGAGTGGGTGGGAGACATTGTCCAAGATGACATGTAGTTTGGACAGCATCCTCCTCTCTGACACCATCATCAGAGTCTCCAGATCCACCGCCACAACGTCACTGGCCTTGCAGATCAGTTTGTTGAGTCTGTTAGTGTCTGCTACCCTCAGCCTGCAACAGCAAACAGGATAGCATTGGCCACCGCAGACTCTCATGGATGGAAACAGGACTCACTGGTGCCATGGCTCTACCAGCCTCGTCACCCTTGCTGATACATCCATTCACAGCAGAGTCATCAGAAAACTTATGAAGATGGCAGGACTTTATTATTTACAAGGGGAAAGTCAATGTTTTTTCTGACTTTTGTTACTGTTAGTATAAACACACATGCACATGTAACAACACATGGAGAGACACGGGGGATGCCACTCAGTGCGGCACCCGAGCAGTTGGAGGTTGCTCAAGTCCACCTTCGGCAGTGCTCTGTAGCTACCAGTCCATTTCTTTGGCCCAAGTTGAACTCAAACCGGCAACCCTCCGTTTCCCAAGCCGAGTCCTTATGGACTGAGCTACTGCCGGCCCATAGTGGGGTAGTTGAAATCCCTGGTGTAGATGGGAAGAGGAAGGGAGAGAGGACAGTCCCCTGTGGGGCCCCGGTGTTGCTGACCATTGTCTTCACACTGGGGTTGGTGTCTCACAGGAGGGTGGAGGACAGTGAGGAGGAGGGGGGAGTTGTGGGGTTGGAGGGCAGCATTGCATGAAAAGCGGGATTTTCATCACTGTAAACTCCCCTGGTGGTTTGGTGGACTGGCGGAGGTGTTAACGACTCTGGCTTCTCAGTCATTGGATGAAACCAATGACATCACCAAATCAACAATCGCATGTGATTCGTTGGTAGATTTAGAGGGTTGCCAGCAACACCGAACAATGCCCCTTAACTGTGAAGTGCCTCAAGTGAGCTATTGCTTTTATAAAACTGTTACCAAGCATGGCAAAAAGAAAGTAGGCTAACAGATGCGATCTGTATCAGATCGCATTTTAATACCAGGTGTAAATGGGGCGTGAGACCTCAACAAAGCTCAGATTATAACTTGAACCCTGTTTGTCGCAGAGTGATATCTGTGCGAAATTATTCGAGTCATACCTGTATGCTCATTATAACACTACTATGAACCAATCAGATTGCTTGATTTGAGCTACCCATTTTATAACTGTGGCTATTGGTCACCCTGTCCCTTTATAAATATGGGCTTGGGTAAACCACTCGAATTTGAAATAATAATAATGAGAAAAAAATGTATAATTAATAACCATGTATTAAAAGGGCTATATGTAGTTTTTCTACTAAAATGAAAAATGATTTTATTGCCTGTGTGTGAAGGGGTTGTAATCTGACATTAAAATTATCCACTTTCCGGGTTTGGCTATTAACTCTGAAGGCAAGTATTCCTATTCCTATTTGAAGGCTCTGGATCGGATTTTCCGCAAAATCCAGTGACTGACACCTGCATGCGCGCTCCCGAGGATCTCGCTTTGTCTACTGACTTTGCACTCAGCAGCGATGACACTGCAACATGGAGTCTGCTAACACTAAGAAACGACCTGCTCCCGGCACAACACAGACTCCAACACAAACTCCACATAAGGATAAAAAACAAAAAAAGTTTTATCTGCTGAAGCTCATCAGGCCTAATGTGAATCGGATTGACTTCGGACGAAAACATGGATAAACATCAGCAGGGCTTTTGAATCAAGGGAAAACCTCCGCTTTGTTTTGGGTATATAAACAGACCCAGAGTTGGCTTTCATCCTATTGGACAGGTAAGCTAACATTACTACATGTAATATATATTTGGATTTTGTGCTTCAGTTGGCTCAAGTTGCAAACTTTGTGCAAAGTTATATCGCTTTCACATTACTTCACCAACTAATGCAACCCATGTTACTTTCCTCTGTACCACTGTTATGTCTAAGTGTCAAAGCCTGCAAGAAATTATGTAATGGTAAAAAGCTAATGTGGAGCGATTTGTTTACTATCCCATAAAGGCGGTGGGCTGAGGCCGCGTATCTGCTTTAGTTTTAGAAAATAATGATCCCGATCGAGAGAAAACCCAGACTGAGTGTTAATCAGATTCCGTTTGTTGCCACTCGAAATGCTCATGCAATGCTAAATCATACTTGAAAAATTGTTAAATTTACCGGCAAACACGGCAGCCTACTATAGCAGACGAACCAATATGCACGCTTGCATACTGATGCAGCGATGTCATTAACCAATCAGATTTAGCTGCATTGAGCACCGCTGTTGACTCAACGAAGAACTGCATGGAAGCAGAGACGCTCGGCTGAAGACAGTATGCAGTGAAAGCTGCGAGGGAAAGTATTAATGTTGTTGGAAAATGCTCGTAAATCAACTGGTTTTAAGACATAACTGTGTTGTTCAAACTTACGGCAGCCTTACAACTCTAACATTTAAGGCAGCGTTAGCTAACGCTGCGCTTGCTAGCTAGCATCACGCACCCATGCATCTATTCCTCATTAGCTAGTTTTGTCTAACTAATAACGTTAATTGGTGTTTTTTCTTTTATTATTATTTCGGCTGCATGGCGCATTTGTATTTTTATTTATGTTTGCAAGTGATGTTCGTTTCAATGTGTAAAAGAAGTCAGCGGTGTGTGACTGTAACGTTACAGCCCATGTCTTTGCTGGAGTTTCTCACCATCTTGTGTCTGTTTTTACCTCTAGCACTAAATAACAAGCAGAAGACAAAAATTCAGGCTTCAGCTTGTTTTGAGGCTGTGAATCCTCACAATCCCCGGCCCACATCATCAACAAGTGATCAGGTTAGTGACACCACAGTTTTTTCAAAGACACTTACCCATATTCTATAACATTAAGTTTGGAGGGACAGTGCTTTGGGATCAAGACCCGGTTCTAAACTTTCTCAAAACCTGAAAATCAATTAGGTCCGGGTTGGAGCTTATTGATACTGCTATCGAGGCTAGTGGGTCCTATAATGGAACGTTATGCCTCAAGAGTCAAATCTGATTTAACTTGAAACATGATGAATAAGAAAGCTAATGTTTCTTATTGAGGGCACCGAAACGCGGTATCAAACCGAACAGGTGCTTATGATTGGGCTGCAGTTTCGGCTCCTACATGAACGAAACAAACACACACACACACACACACACACACAGAGCCCTGCAGAGAGAGACGCAGACGGCGCTCCATCGCGGTGGAGACTCAGTGTGATGTTAAGTTAGCTCCAAACTATTCGAGTTGCCGACAGCTACGCTCGTTACTATAAGTACGTGAAATAAAACCTTTGTGAGTAAAAAGGCAACACACCTGTCTGTATGGTAAACATGTAGAAAGGGTTCATTTAATCATCTCTGTCCTCAGTCTCTCATCCTGTATGTTTTATACAAGCACAGAAAACGTTAGCCAAATGTTAAAAACAAGCTAAACAGAAAGGTCTGTAATTTAAAAAATCTGGTACATTGTTGTAAACTCTGGCTGAGACAAACCAGCCGCTCCTCCTTCTACCAAGTAAAGTTACCTAGAGGCAGTTACCAGCAGAGAGGAGGAGGATGCTGACTGAGTTTTCATTCTTTCTAAACATCAGTGAGTATTGTGATGTCAGATATTAAGTTTAAATAGTGACTCTGCTGTTGTAAACATTAATGTTGCTGCTCTAGAAACAACATTTAGTTACATTTAACA